CAGTCTTTCCACGCTCGACCAAATTCCTGCAAGAACTCCGCAGGAAAACCCAGCGTGTATGGGACAGCGAAGTATCTGAAAAAGTACTGATAATTCCTAATACCGCGAACAATGGGAGCGAGTGTTAACCGTCATTTTTGCAACTGCATTACCAACACAGGTTTGGGTAATCGTAATCAACGTAACCACCAGATCGCTTTGTATCTCCCTAGAGAGAACGAGTGTGAAAGGTTCGAGGAATGCTAATGTTTAGAAACTTTTGTTATACCCTTCTTTCGCAAAATTTTTCCAAAGCACTTACCAATTCGATCTGGCGAGCAATCTTAGAGTGATTTATCAGGAATCGGTAAATTCGAACGAGTGAGACGTCTCTCGCGAACCATTGAACGTCAGCTTCATCAAAGATCACGGCCAAATTAAGCAGCGTACCCCCGGTCGCCTTTGTCCGCGACCAGTCAAAGCAACGACACGTCGCATCTTTATTGACGCGCACCGAGTAAAATTACGATCGCGTTTAGACACGAAAGACGAGCGCGGCGTAGGCGGCGGCGGGGCTAAAAGCACGCCGAGGGATCCGGGCTTCGAGGGAGGGTCGCGATCGAGCACTTGAGCACGAGCTGAGAAGAAATGCGGGGAGAACAATGGCTAGAGGTAACCAGGAGCCGGTGCTGCGTCATCCCGGTGTCTGAACCCGTCTCCTCCGACGCGGTAACGAGCTCCACGTCGACCAAAGAGCTCACCTTCCCGCGACCCGCCACCAAAACCGACCACCCACGGCTTCCTCGGCGCGATATCGCGTTACCTCGACAGAATTCCCGTCGTCGACGATTCTCGAGATAATTTGCGCCACCTTTGCCCAGCGTTAATTGGAGATAAAGATCGCCGTCGCTGATCGAACTCGGCCGACGTTGCGAACTAACCTCTAGTGGCCACCAATATGGCCGCCATATTTGTTACTCGGTTGGAATCGTTTATGGAATTGCATAGAGGGCGTTGGAGAGAAATCGGCGGGTAAACGGCGCCAAGACGATCTCGAAAATAATATTTTTTTCTCGTGCTCGGTTTAACGTTGGCTCCGCGGCGACGAGGGCCTCCGTCGGCGTGCACAGAAATTCGCCGGCAGCTGCTTGATCTTTCCGCGTGGTTTCGCGCCGCACAAGCGACGGCAGACACTCGGGCAATGCGTACTTATCAAACGCAGCCCGCGTATAGTCGCAACGGAATGAGAAAGAACGATAGACGGGATAGACGGCCGCGGGACAAAGAGAGGCGAAATCATGCGAGGCGAAACGCGAGACGGGAAACGAACAGGAAAGAGAGAGAAAAGTCGCGTACACTTGGCTACTTGGCATTTACATCCGCCATCCATTTTGCACGCCGGTACTTCAGTCCCTATTCTTTACCTTTAGGTGCCTGCGCCCATGTACGAGTACACACATACACACACACGAACGTTGCATCTCGACGTACATTAACACGAGTCGGGCGGCGTTTTTACGTGGCAATGCGTGGCCTGTGCCGCGAGTGCGTAAGAGAACAGACTGCCGGGAAGAAAAAAAAAGGGGGGAAAGAACAGGGAAGAAGAAGAAGACGAAGATGGGAGAGAACGAAGGGAGAAGAGAACTCGGATGTGCCGTGGAGCAGAGTCGTGTGAGGTGAGGGCGCACCTGGACCTTCTTCTCCATGGGCGTACAAGGGCTCTCACTGCCTTCCACTCCACGATTCAACCACCCAACGGACTGCCTCCAGTTACCGTGCACCAAAGTTTCTTCTTTCTCTGTTTTCGGCCCCCTTTCTTCCGCCCCCCCTTCCTCGCCCACTCGCTGGGTCGCTCGCGTTTCCTCCGTCTCTCTTCCCTGTTCTTTGTTTTTCTTTTTTTTTTTTCACGAGTGCGTGCGTACCACTGGAATCTGCGTTCGCCGACACAAACGCGCTTTACATCGGCTCCGCGACGGTGCTTGGCGTTTTATACGAAACAAAAAAAAAGCGTTCTATTCGGGCGTTACACAATGGGGGTGGGGGGAAAATAAAAACAACGATCGAAATCGAAGGGTTTCGTTTCCCGTGTCACTTTTGGCGGACTCGATCGGGGAAATCTGAGATTATAGTAATCGAAAGGGTACAAAGATTTTAGATTCATACGAGAACCGCAATTGTTGCTATATTTTATTGAGAAAAGTTTTGTGCATGTATCGATGCGTGGCATATTATGTACAAAATGGCGACGCGACTCGGATGGACCGTGTTACGCGTCTCGCCCTAGCAATAATCTCGGTTCTGCTCGCACATCCGGTACTCGGATGAATCTTTTTGACCGTCGAAGGCAGCAGCCAAGTCCCCGGGCGTTACGAGCCGTGGAAACGCTTTGTCCCCGGACGCGAACAATGCGAACATTTTGGGAAATTGGAAAGCGTAATCGGCACGAATGGCGTGGCGCGGTATCACGGTTGAAACCAGGCGGTCGGGTACATCTGGTACCGGTCTACCAGAGCGGGCGAGCATTGAACCAGCGAGTACCACTCGAGAAAACAATAGCGAGCAGCGCTCTTGTTCTACCTCTCTCTCGCTCTCCTCTCCCTTTGGGCTCTCCTCTATCGTCACCCTGAAATCTGGATCCTACGCTGTAGGACGGTTCCCTCGCGGAGACGCTTGGATTTCTTTAACCATGCAAACTTCGCGCTACCAACTCCAACTAGTTTGGCTACTGGACGCGTTTGCAACAAACAGGGCTCCTACAAAAATAAAAATAAAAATAATTACCGATCTTAACACTTTATCGGCTGCTAGATCATCGAGTATAGAAAGAGTTATCGACTATCGAAGTCGACAGACGGAACGAATCAACCATGTTCGTCCAACTCGATGAGAGTCTTGCCACTACGTATTGGCACGCATTGTACTCCACACGGCCCATTTAATTTGCATTGCCCGCATAAGATTATCCGGTGTTTCGTTCAGCGATCCAAGCCGATATTTCCGATAGCCCGCATGGCCAAGTGTAAACAACCCTTCCGTTCCCTCGAACCCAGCTCTCACACTATTTTATGCCCCCCCGTTCTATTGCTCTATTTTAAGCCCCCTTTTTAAGGAAATTTCATTAGCCAACGGTGCATTAAACATTCCAAACAACGTATGAATATAATATGGGATAAAAAAGGAATACGGTCTCGATTCTAACAAGATTTCGCGACGTCTCGGGCGCGCGGAGGTATGCCGGCAGTGTTCTTTCACGGAAACGTTCCTCTCTTTGAGGAATTTTCGCGAAGGCTGCATCTCGAGCTCGGTTATTGCGTCTGCACACGATTATGGATCATCGAGCGGGCCCGTGCGTGCCGCGCATACTCCTCCATCCCGAAGTGCTCCTTTCTGTGAAGCATGCGGCGTTATCTCGGCTTCCTTGTTGTCCCTTTGATGAAATAAAGCACTATCCGCGCCGAGATCTACCCCTACGCCGGTAGTTGCGGTCCCGTTCTCTGTACGAACGCGTCTATGTGTATACTTTATCCTTCACTCTCTCTCTCTCTCTGTGTCTCTCTTTGGTCTCGAGTTCTCTCGACGGTCCAGGACACAATGCGGCCCTTACATCTTCATCGAGTACGAGTCGTCGCTTGCGTGTAATGCGTTCACTCCGGTTTCCATACGGGTGTACGCGTTCCCCCGAACCATTTTCTACACGACAACTGGATTCGATCAGACTGTTCCTGCTCACCTTTTGCTTTACAACTTTTACGCTCTGCGAACAAGTAATTAACCCCGTGCAACATGATCTATTTTTAATCAAACTCTTTCATTCGGACTCTTTGATTTGGTCCGCAGTTTGGTATCGATGTGATAGAACTTACCAGTGAGGACGCGTTGTCGATGATCGTCTGTAAAAAGATGGATAGGAAGGACGTGGCGGATGGTCGAAGAGAATCCACTCGAAGACCTGTCGTAGAACCAATTAAATTATATTTGTCTCAAGTGCATACAATACAAAAATGTCCACGTGGTGCCGCGCATAAGTCGTTTACAGGGAAATAATATACGTACCCCATCTCGCTCGGTTGTGCACTGACGATATGTATAAACGACGAACACGAGGTACAATCGAGGCCTCGGCCTGGGAACGGGGGAAAAGTGGATATCTTTATTCGCAAATAGAAAGTAAACGTTTCACTCCCGATCGAGAATGAAAATTTTAAGCTGCTCTACCGATCGTTTCGAAAACAAAATGGCCTTATTTAATATTCATTGTTACCTCGTTAAAGTGTTCGCCTCGATCGGGGATGAATATTAGAAAGAAAGTAAAACTATCTGGCTCTGTGATGTACTACTGTAAACGAGTCTCCAGACCCGCGTCCTTTTCTCCGCCGAAGCATCGATCGTTTCGTTCACTGCGGAACTGGCGAAGTTCGTGAGAAAAAGAAAAATAAATCGATTGTACGTTTATACGTGGAAACGATCGGTTCTCGCGCCGTCGACGCATCGAGCTACGCGATTAAAAATCTTCGAAACAACCGAAACTCGCGTGCATCTGTTCCGAGATAGATTCACAACAACACTGTCCCTCGAAATCCAAATCGCGACGGTCACCGAACGGTGGGGATGTCCACCGAGTCGCGACCGTGATCGCTAAAATATAGCGTTCGCGTTGTTACTAGCGTTGTTCATGCAAACGGTAATTACATCGAAAAAAATTACAGAGATTAAAGTTTTACTGTTCATTGCAACCAACGGGTTTAATTTTTTATATTTGGAATAATTTTCGTGAACGAACTGAAGCGTACATCGGGAACACGTGAAACGCTATGATTATTAAGAGATCGTAGAACGTATAATTGCCGTTTACGTTTAAAGAATGCCGGGCTAGTAACAACGTGGAACGTCCAGCTGAATAAAATTCTACATTAACAGATTGTACTCGCTCGAATGTTGCTCCCGCATCTACTCAACTTTCCGCGGCGGAGGAGCAACCTTCCGGCGGAACCGTTTTAATATTGTACATTTCTTTTTGTTTCCCCCTTTGTCTACACGGACGTTCATATAAAATTACATTTGATACACTCTTACGTCGCTAAACTCGTGAGTAATAACTGCCAGCACTGGTCCGATCATGCACACCATCCCCTTTCGGAGTTCAATCTCCAGGTTCGCGAGTCCTCTCTAGATCGTCGGGATCCTCGTTGTGCAACGAGGATCTGAACTAAGAGGAAGATCGTGACGTCGATGTATTGCACGTGTATCCGTTATGACGACGAACGCTGGGTACCTAACACGGATAGGTAAAGGAAGCGGATATAGGAGCAGTGCGGTCATTTATTGCTCGCGATGAGACAATCCTCCTGGTCCTAACCACGGTGAACCCTAACATTTCCATAAACCTGATCTCGTGGGAGTCGACGACCGGCGTTGACGTTTGGCGAACGCGGATGTATCGCTACGTCTACCGTCTCCACCCTCCTCCCCTGTTCCCTCCGTTTCCGCTACCGTTCCCTTGGTAATTGGACGAATAATTCTGCAACAACGTAAGGAACGACTCGATTAATCCGACGAATCTCTGCTCCCATTTACTCCGATCGTGACCTCACACCTCCGACTTCGAGGACTTCTTGGACACGATCGAGTCGCCATTTTGGAAAACGCTGATTCGAACAATGGACGTTCTACTATCGAGTAGTCAGGCATTAGAATCTTACCCGTTGCGGATGATAGCTGTTGTTGTACTGTGAATTCTGATAATTGTTCCGCCCGTACGGCTGAGTGCTGTAGTTGTTCCGTGGCTGGTAACGTTGCTGGACGTTGCTGTGGGGTCCACCAGCCCCGTATCCCCTTGCCCACGGTCCCGGCAGCAGGGCGACCTGACTCGAACCGGCGCTCTCGTATCCTCCTTGGTAATCCGCGCTCTGGTAGCCTGAAAATCGAACAACCCTCTCGTCAGTATAGCAGAGAACTCTATTTTTTTCTCGCTGTCCCAATTTTCATCTCAGACAGCCAGCGTGTTCGTCGATCAAAGGGTTAATTAAAATCGTCGAATTTTAGAACGGCTTGACCTATAAATCACCTTCGTCCGCGAACCTGTCGATCAAATCTCGAAAACCGTTGACCGGTGCACGAGTATCGTACACCTTCGAGGCGGGGGCAAAGGGCGGACGGTAGCTACGGAGGGGGCGCACAATGATCGCGTAGGTGAATTGGGGGGGGCTCTCCCGGGGAGCGTGGCGGCGCGTGTCCCGTGTTCCCTCGAATAATATGTAAACGCGCGTGCACGATGGAACGTCCAACGGAAGACAGAAGTGTTTGCCAGCATCGCGAAACGTCATAATGGGGCCTCGATGCTAATAACGGATTTTCGAAAGGGCAACGCGCGTGCCGCGCACGGAAACGACGGGCATTGTACTGGGTGACTCGACGGAAAGTCGTCTTAATACCAAATACAACTACCAAGCGTCGTTTGCATCGTCAGAAATGAAAAGTTTCATGACTTGGAACTCGAATTTCGTTCAAATTGCAACGTCCATTTTGAAGTTCGATAGATCGATGAATTCTAGGATCAAAATGGCGGTACTCGTTGACTAAATGTGCATTTATTGTAATAACAGATACAGAGTATGGGAGGTGCTGATAGGGCTCGATTTTATCCTCGAAAACGACCGCGTATCGATACGAAAAGGGGTGGGACGGTAGAAATTGGAAGCACCGAGCATAACGACGACGCTGACAAAAGAACAAAACGGTTGGCCCCCCCTGTCTTGAATATTTATAACGTTCGAATCGCGAGATCATGCTTTTTACCCGGACTCGAGAGCCCGGTAGTTCGAAAATAAGAGAAGAGGGGGGGGGGCACCGTTTGTTTGATGTATCGCGACGAGTAGAGATCAATTTTAATTGAATTGATCGTAAGCTCGCGAAGGAGACGCGCGAACCGTCCTCTTGGTTGCCTCGCCGGAAACGGTAACGAACCCCCCTCCCCCCCGCGAGGAATCTCGCATTCATGTATTCCAGGCTCACCGTTTCGTCTGCTATCGGCGGTGTATTTATCCAAAGGGACCATCGATCCACTTGTTCCAGTTAAAAAAAAACTGCTCGGAATTGTCTACACTTGACCGGCCCCCCCCCCCTGCCCCCCGCGAGACTAGTCGACGCGTGTTCTATCGACGACTCGATCCCGTCTACGTTACCGCCTCGCTTCTTGCATCGATCCGCGTTACGGATACATGCGAATGTACGAAACTCGCGAAGCAACTGCTCGCGACACGATTAACTAGACGATCTGGGAACGACGCGACTACATATGCAACATAGTTCTCATAGACAGAAGCCCTCGGCTTATTAACACTAGATTTACGGAAGCTGTCCATTTAACGAGTGTCTGATTCCATATTTAAAATCGCAGAACGCGTAAATATTATTTTATTCATATTCCAATTAAAAGAAAAATCGTATTGCAAGGTAATCGTCAACATGAAAGGTATCAATAAATATACGTGCGATCAATGCCCCTAAATCTAGTGTTAAAGTTAACGCTAGAAGAGCTTGAAACGATAGATAGTTCCAATGGAAAATAAATGTTTATTCTTTTCTAGAAGCTCCACCAGTGTTACTATCGTGGTTTCCAAGCGGAATTACTCGACTTGTACCCCAAATAAAAACGTTTTACCCGCCTTCTTTAATAACGTGTCCCGTAAAATTCGCTAAATAATTTCCGCCGGCGTTCCCGTACCGCGAAAAAACCGAGAAATTAATACGGCCAACTCCCCCGACCGGCTGCAGTCTAATTAAATACCTGAGCGTGGTAACGATTCCTCGGGATGGGGTTGAAGCGGTCAGCGTGCGTGCAGGGCAGGGGCTGCTATTATCATAAACGCAACAATAACGAGGGATGATCCGATGTGTAAACTGTTGAAACCCTCCCCCGTGGCCCTTTTTTTTCGGCGAGGGTGAGGATTACCGGTGAGGGGGCCCCTCGGTGGCAGCACGGGGGATGTTATTGTTGCCACGACGAAGCGAGACGAGCCACGGGTTCTCCGGAACAGAGACCCCCGGGGACTCCATAACCTCCGCCAGCCTACGAATTCGACCACCCCTTCGACCCTCGATAATATTGACGGTGTTTCCCGCCTCCCATTACGAGCTCGATTGAACCAAACTATACGATTATCATGCGTCACTGATAGTCTCTCTGTGCCGACGATCGCCGACAGTCGCTTCAACCCTTCAATGGTAATTCCTTGGAGCACCTACGGGGATGCTTCTTTACGATCCCGTGTGCATCGAGTTGTTCTATATTCTGGAAGCACCCGTAGCAACTTCGTACCTTTTTTCGGGGCACTTGTGACGAGAACAATGTAACCTGTGCAAGTTTCCATGTAAATTGTGCTCGAATAAATGGAACACGAAGAGTTTGTCTTTTCACTTTCCTACCCAGCTCTTTCGAAGATTTCAGGTGTTGTTCAGGACCGTTCGAAACTCGACGATATTTTCGAGCGAAACGAGCCGCAATTATTGCACGAATATCGTCCCGAATCGTTGTTGTTCCCCATCGTCGGGGACGAGAGACACGCGAGAATCCGCGACGAGTGGTAATTTAATTGGAAAGTCGCGGGACGGTCCTAGGAGGGGGGAGAGGGGGGGGAAAAAATGATTTTCTCCGGATGTTAAAATGGCGGACAATTAATTACAAAATGAAAGCTCCGCCTGCTCGACGACCGAAGCCCCGAGTTTCGCGAAATTGTATTGGAAAGCGAACGAGAAAGCGACGCGGATAGGAGAGGAGAGAGATTCGTTCGTATGTAGGTAGCGTACGATTCTGTGTGTTGCCTATCCGCCATGGGTATTGGATTGGATTGGATCGCCGCGTCAGCAATACAAACACTCGAAGCCTCGATGTGGGTCGGCCTCTCCCGTTCCTGTTTCAAACTGAAATTACACTTTCCCGTCCGACCGGTCCCGACGCCCACACACCCCTATCCAACCCCGTTTTCTCCCTTCGATTTGTCGTTTTTCGTCCATCCTTTTCATCCAAGATTTTGGCCAAGTTCGCGGCCCCGCGATCCACCAGACTCGAACGTCTTGCCTTTCGTCAGGAGCAACGAGACAACGCCACTTTACCGACAACTTTACCGCAAATTTACTCTGCTTTATCGACGACATACTTTCAAAGACTTTTTTATCGACAATGTAATTTTAAAGGTTCTTGTCGATAAAACAGAGCAAGTATCGACTGCCATCACATCATACAGTTAGTTATTTTTCACATTGCTCGTTGAAAATAAAACACATGCAATAAAGTCTAGACTCAAACATGATTTAACAGTTCTATTTACAATTTTATCAAGATGTTAATCTTTCGAAAGCGAGTTGACGGAAGTAGATCGGAAGGATTCGGGTCAGAAGGCTCGAAAGACGGTCGGAAATTTGGGTCTGCGATTTCCGCGGACTCTGAAAAGCCTGGTAGTCGCAAATTGGTGGCAATCGTCTTTGATAAAGTCACGAAATGTCCGTATCAGCTCGGTTTCCGTCCGCGGGATTAGAAATTAAAGGTGGCGGTTGAACTCGAGGCATAAATTCTCCGACTGCCCCCCCCCCCCCTCCGCCCCCCCTTCTGTCCCCGCCGCGAGGCGCAGTGAAAAAGACTTTTGCGGCCGCGGCACGGAAATCGAAACCCTTTAGCTCCGCTTTCCTCGAGAGGCGAGACCAACCGACTAACTCGAATGAAAAGGCACCGGTGCTGGATAAGAGACACTTCGTGCACGCTCCTGCTGACGTGTATCCGAGCACGAAAAAAGGAAAGAAAAGAGAGCCGGGCAGGGATTTCGAGAGAGAGGGAAAAACCACGGAGATGACGCTTATTTAGCTTACCTTTTACTTACGGCGTGCTGTACAATGTTTACCTACGCCCACCTAAGCGTGTAAGATTCGAGGGACCGTTCGAGAGGAACAATGTTTGCGCAAGAAGAACCGATATTGCGATTTCGATATGCAATAGAGGAAGAGAACCAACGTCGCAGGGTCAAGGTTCACGATTTTCAGATCGAGAACAGTAGATTTAAACGCCTGATTTTAAGTTTCTAACAAGAAAGGCGAAATCGAATATGTCCCCCCGAATTCTGACAATAAATTTTGCTAATTTCAACCCCTGTATCCATCCGCGATGACTCACAAAGCAACGCTGAATAGAAAAGTGACTAGAAGTAACGAAGAACCAATATGGCCGCCATGACAGTTGTAAGTTCCGTGCGCGATGGATTTAATTCGTCTCGACAGAGTCCAGAAGCGTAAAAACGGGAAAGCAAAGGGGGGTGTGGTTGCGTCCGAAATGTGTCGCGAGTACCCATCCAGAAGAACAATGAGCAGCCGTGCGTTCCCGATCGAGGAGGCTGCCGGGTACAAGATGGCGCCAGTACGTAGAGAGTACCACTCGGGCGATTTCCGGCGGCTTTGTTCCGCCGCGGCACTCGTGCACACGGGGGCGTGTGTTCGATGAAACTCGAGGCACGAAGGCGCGTTTTTCAGCCGCCGGTGTACCCAGCTTACGTGCGTGCCGCGATATATAAAGAGGTTTTTCTTCTATGAAGCCAGTTAGCCAACGAACCGGTAATTCCTCCACCGTTTCGCCCTCCCCCCTCTTCGACTTCCTCTCACGGGAGCTTTCTCGCGCTTCGACTTCTTCTTCTTCTTCTTCCTCCTCGTACTCCTTCTCCCCCCTTCTTTTCACGTTTATTCGCCGCGAGCATTCATTCTCGCCTTTGCGCCGCGCGGAAGAAGAAACGAGCCGGGTGCAGCTCAAGATTTCCCCCTCCTCCCCCCCGACCACCACCCGTCGTCTCTGGTCCGCCCTTCTTCCGCGTCTCTCTTACCATTTTTCCCTGTTCCTCTTTTTAGTCGCCGGTAATGGAGGCCCTCGAAGCCGGC